CCTGTACGCATTTGCTCCTAAGGTTTTAAAGTCAACCACTGCACTAAGGTGTCACCAGACCACAGTTACATTCTCATCAAATAACTATTGAGTTTCTTCGGTACCATAGGATCTTTGTGTTCTCCTACATCATAAAAGATTCCCATAGGAGTATCAAAAACCAAACAATATAGAGAACATGCGTGTTTTCGTAAATTTGTCTTCAGGCCTTTGCAGTTATGTGTATGTTTACATCTAATGTAGAAATAAATGTGATTGGTCCATAGAGGTTAAGTGTGAAAATACAACAATGTCTGTCAAGTTTAATCACCAACTGCCCCCATTTTATCCACTCGCTTTGATTAAACTTGATAGACATCGTTGTATTTTCATACTTAACCTCTGTGGACCAATCAAGTTTATTTCTACATTACATATAAACACACACATAACTGTAAAGGCCTGAAGACAAAGTTACAAAAACAAGCTTGTTCGCTATATTGTTTGGCTTTTGATATTCTCATCAAAGGTTATCGATGATGGATAGCCATGGACATGTGTAATTCGGAACCCCCGCCACGAGGACATGATTTCTACTACGGTGCAAACTAGCTTATATAACAACTAGCCAGAATTTGCCAGTCAGTTTTCTCGGAAGAAAGAAGTTTCTCATAGCCCATCAGCTAGCTATTAACTCACAAGCCCCACAGAGGGATTAGGAAGACCACTAATGAAAATTCTTCCAGTGGATGGCGGGATATCCCAAATGAAGTCCACTGGACATCGTTTTCAGTTCATTCGAGAATCTTCCCAGCAGAACAAATGTACCATGCTCTTTTTTCTCTGTGTGTTGGTGTGGGGGGGAGGGGGAAAGCAACCATGGACAGGAAAAATGATGGTAATTGCACACCGAGAGTCACAAATTTTGGGAGTCTAACTGATCGAAAATTCAGCAAAAGGATTTTGATTGAAATAATGACTGTAAATCAGTGTAACTTCAACGCCGCTTCTGTGCAGACGGTACATTCATAGATAAATATTATTGTGCGGTTCAAATCATTGAAATGACTTATTTTCCTCACGTTAATTAGGGAAGGTTTAATCAGTCATTTCTCTATATTCATTTGGCAAAAGAAGCCCGTGTTTCGTCATTACCCTTGAATGGTGAGCCAACCACCACTAGTGTAACAACTCTGCTTTTCAACGCTTTCTGTGTGGCGTTTGTCGATTAGTTAATTTTAGGGTAGCGGTTTTACATGAGACTTTGAGGTAATATTTGGGTGGATTAGAATCCAAGTCACCGGTGCGGTGAATAAGACAAATCATATAAGATTGACGATATATTCCGGAACGGAGTTGCCGAAGCCAAGCTGCTTCCTCGTATTGATGCACACATGGTAAGAAATCGATAGACTGTTTCTAAATTTGAAGGTTATATTTGGTCAGTGGAAACCATCAGTTTCATTCGCACACAATACGATCATGTTTGTTTAATCTCATACAGAAATGGAGACTCAACAAATGCTTCAATTTCATTTGTCATCTAATTGATCCTATTCATGACTGAAAATTTTCTGGAAGGACATTTTTGCCATACGGATTATCTTAATTTCAAATTTCAAAACAAATAATTGTCAATCGAAAACGGAAGTCGTTTTTCTCTATAATGACCCAATTCCTTTCAGAAGTCGCTCAGGCTGAAAGTCAACCGGTTGAAAAGGAGAGTCATCCAACAGCATGTGAGTTTCCAAAATTTTACCACTTACCAAATTTTACCATTTTGAATCAATCAAGTTTGTCAAACTTGCTGATCTATACCGCGATATACTCAACTTTGTGCAGCACCGTATTCCTCTAGGAGATTGAATTTGTTTGGCAGGCAGTCTGAGAAATATTTAAAAGCATACGGTCAATTGTTCAAACTTTTGCTATTCTTTGATCTTTGATCTTTGAACTGATTACGGTGCATTAGTATATGCTATCTGCTATTGAATTTGTGAGTTATTACATAGTATGTGCAGTTGCTTATACCGTTTGCAGTCGGGAAACGCAGTATATTCAGAAAAATAAAAACAAGACGTACACAATAAAGCTCTGAAGTACCACATGCACAAGAACCAACTGTTCAGATATCGTATTCTGCAATCTAAGATTGGGGACTTGAAAACCGCTGCCGGATGGACGTGACATTGGACAGGACAGCAGTCAAGCTAATCGACAAACCATTGAATTGATTGGTTATGAGATGGATTGATCATTAAAGCAAAAATCCCGTTGAAAAGCATTGATGGCAAATCAATCCCTCTCAACAATATCTATGAATAAGTGATCCTCTTAATCTCAATTTATCTTAACTGTAAAATGGTCATTAGTAGGTTTATATGGCGGAACTTTAAAACCCTTGCCCAAGCATTTTCCGATGAGGCCATTATGAAACAACGATCGAGGCTACCATGCAATCATCACAACTAGGTATCTTCTTTTCCCCGAGAAACATGATCCAGTTGCACTTGCTATACATTTTGAAGGCTTTTTGGAAAAACACATCATAAAGGAAGCAGTCAAACTCCACAATCACGTTGCACATATATTTCGGTCTTCTTTTAAAATGCTGTGGTTTTTAAGTAGCATACCATATAGTTTTCTCTATCATAAGCTCACTGTCTGCCTCATCTGTCTTTCGTGTTTTACGATACTTGAGAAAAGGCGTAACATATCTAGATGGGCTAACACTAAACGGTAACGCACATTTTGGGGAACCACCCATACACGTGTCTCGCACATACGACCAAGAAGAAACATTAGTTTCATCAGTGGGTGGCGTAAGGCGGGGTGAGAGAGAATTCATCAAAATGGATACTGATCTAAAATAACCTATTGAAATTGCGTGAAGGTTTATTGTGTCCTAATTTTCAAAATGGTAATCATTGCACGTTCAGACGTGTTTACAACTCTACTCCCCCCCCGCATCCAATCGCATTACCAGGATGAGAAACGAAGCAATCTGTAAATTTCCTACCCGATTTACGATAGTTACTTTCTTCAAATTTCGTGCAACACGCCTTACAGGTCACATGTATGCCGATTTCATTTACAGGCACAGTTAGGTGAGGGAGCACCCCAAGCTTGTACCAACGCAGATGAATCGTGATAAGTGAATGAGCTAAGGGGAAGAACATTACATGTTAGCAAAGTGAAAAATAACAGTTGAATCGAGCGCTTTGTTGAATGTTTATATTTACATTATATGTATCGTTATGTATCTCGGTTACTTACAGGTATTGATATTTTTTAATAAAATTTATTTGATCTTTTGAAAATTTCGATCTCAGTTGAATAGATCTCAATTGGTTTCTGTGTATTGAAGGTACGGATTTAGTTAGTGCAACTAATGCTACGAAAATCTGAAAGCTACACTCACTGAAAGTTGACTTTTACGATTACCTCCAGCATTTTGTGAACTTTTATGGCGAAAGTAAAAATGGCACTTAGATTACTGTTTCAGTCCAGTGTTGTACGTTCTCAGAAAGTGACAAATTGACTAATGGATGGTAACACACTTTACAGTGGTTGTGGTTTCCACAAAGACAACTCAAATGGAGGAGAGAACAAGCCCGTTTCAGATTACTTGATTTCCAGTCTAATATATATATATATATATATATATATATATATATATATTGAAAAGGCTTTTAGCGAGAGTAAATTGCTAATCAATACTGAGTTTATAACAATGATGGACTTATTGTTCCGAGATCGTTTAATCAGAATTCGTTTCACCGTGCTAATATCACATGTCACTAAAAAGCAATGGATGCTCTGTGGACCAGTTACATTCACTGCAGTGCATATTCATTGAGCTCGTGACCGTGAAGACCCGTAGGTTGAAGATCTTGAGCCTCCTCACATCATCACCAGAATACTCCGGCTGACAGTAGTGGTTGGTCTCACATTCACGCGCTTGTTCATCTCTTCCACTGAACCATGTTTGGTCAAAGACCGACGCCATTTTGGTAAACGTGATTTAATCGACAAGAAGAAGGCCGGGGAGAATAAAATTGATGACTAACCGCTCAGGGGAAGTGCACATTCTGTGGGACATACTTTACCGGGACATACGCATGTGTGCCGTTTCATTTTCCTTATACACCTTATAAACGTGAGCTCATTCGCATGAACTATCATGATTCAGAACTATTACAGATGAAAAGATCGGTTCATTATCATGTTCGAAATGACCATCAGCAAATATATGATGTCTTTATTGCGTAGCATAACTTCTTGCCTACCATGACGAAAGGTCACACATCTCATTACTCATCAGATGAACTGGTGCTGCGATACGAATGATCGCGTGGATTTGTTAACTAAATCTGTTCGACACTGCAACCACTTCAGTGGATCTTTGCTCATCTATTCCAAATTAATTTATACTCATCAACTTCCTGGCATAAAGATAGGCTACCTCATCAAAGAGTGTTCAACTTAGCAAATCTGACTTCCCAGGGTAAACGAAAAATTGTAATCAAGCGCAAATTCCTGCTCTAATGATAGAGGATTTCATAGAAAAAGTTGATGGGAAGCATTTATGCAGTGCTGTACCAGAGGNTAATTCGCTGATAATTATGGTTCCTTGATAACCACCTGTACAGCATATCTACATAGTAGCTACATGCTCATGTAGTGGAGGTTGTACTTATAAGAACAGCCTGATTGAAGTTAAAGGGTTTAACAAAAACAAAATGCGTCAAATTTTATCATAAGAATACCATATATGGACATTTACACAATTATATGGGGTCAAGCAGAAGGCACTGGGTGGTTGAGTCATTACCGAAGTCATT